CAAGCCTTCCAGCAACAATCATTTACGAGCGCCCTTGCTTCTGGGATTCGGCCAGCCTTATCAGCCTTTCATCCCTGGCCATACTTGTGGGAAACATCAGCCCTTGTGGGCGTGGTGGTATGAAACAATCCTCTAAGTCTCTCTGTCCCATGTATTCTGGAGAACCCTAAACCCTAATCCCTGACTTGTCTCCTTGGGGCCTGTTCATAACCTCATGATGCTACAAGCCGAGTCGTGTGCTCACATTGCCAAACGTACCTCATGATCACAATCTCGACAAAGACAAAATGGTTCCATGCATACTCGCCCTTAATTAGATAGAATATGGCTTTGGGTACACTATAATAACATCCCCATATACCTCATATTCTACCTACTTAAGGGGGACTATAAGGCAATGTGTAGGGTTTGTACCCTCATTTAGTTCATACCGTAGTGTGCCCGAAGGCCAAGGAGCTGTACTCTGGAAACCCTGAACCCTCAAGCGCCAGGCCCTAAATCCTATACCCTGGACCCTAGGCCTTATCCCAAGCTATAAGCCGTCTTCGTATAGCGGTTTAGGGTTCAGGGTTTAGGGTACATCATGTTGAAAGTTTGTTTGGGGTACCCCTTACTATCATGAGGGAAGGAAATTGGGACCACGATTATTATTGCTATTATTATTATTATTACTATTATTACTCCCTAAACCCTAAACCCTAAACCCTAAACCATTACTATTATTATTGCTATTATTAATATTATTACTATGTTGGCTCCTATGTTATCCGGGCTCCTGTGGGTTGCAGTTCAGGAAAGCCCGCTTTCGCGAAGCTGTAGAGTGATGCCAGGCAGAACTCAAAGTCGCTGGCTGCAAGCACTCCTTTGGGCAGTTTACTGTGATGACTTTCATGGTGTTTAGGGTTCTTAAAGTTCTAATGAAGAATCCTATCATAAACGATGGTTATGTGTTTTTGTCAAGGGGTTTGGGGCATATTTCCTATTGCTTTTTCTTTGACTACTCGATCTTACTTTTGCGATTGTTATCTTATTGCTACTACTCTAGTTCGCATTATTCATCTGTCCGTCATCGTCTAGGGGATTTTGGGGTGTAGAGATTTTGGGGTGCCAGGGAAAGAGTGAAAGGGGACCTATGTTGGGAGTGGGGTTTAGGTTTGATTTTAGGCGGGGCTTAGGCTCAAGGTGGAAGCATTTGAAGGTGTTGTTGGCTTACCTTGAGGGACCCTGGAATTAGATGATTTATCATATCCCTTGATTAGCCCATTCTACCGCTATAATAACCCTTTCGAAGCAGGTTACCAAGCTCATTAGTAATCCTAGATTCCAATAAAGTAGGGTTCACAGTTAGGTGGTTGAGGTTTGAGCTTTGTCGGCTACCTATGCGGCTGGAGACGAACATTGCTGTAACTCAAGTCAATGGTGAGGGCCTGCGGGATTGTGAAAAGAAAATGGAAACTACTATATTATAATAGGGTATCTATGGGGGTTATATAGGGGTTATATTGGGATAATGGAAAAGAAAATGGAACTACTATATTATAATAGGTACGACTTCAGTTTTGGGGGCTCAGGGATGCGGGATTGGATGAAGGATTTGGGGCGCATTAGCGTGGCAATGCGGAAAAAAGACGTATCCAAAAGCAATTGTCGTATATGAGTACGACTGGTGGTGAGCGTCTAATAGGCATTCTGATCAGCGTCTTCGTGTGCAAAACTACCATTCTTATCCCCTCGCAATGCGAATTCCGGGTCTCAGGGTGTTGCAACGGGATCCAGATTCTAGCCCTTCGTATATAAGGTTGTGAGAATGTGGCAGGCCTTACCATAGTGGTTACCACTACAACTAGTGGCATCAATATCCTTGACATTGTCATAGCTTCTATCGGCAATGCGCTTAAAAACTGTGGCCTTACCATTGTGGTTGCCGCTACAACTAGTGGCATCAATATCCTTGCCTCACCATTGTGGTTACCATACAACTAGTGGCATCAATATCCTTGACATCGTCATAGCTTCTATCGGCAATGCACTTGAAAAACAATGACCTCATTCCTTGTACGCACTTTGTAGCTACTTGTCGCTTTCACGGTTTACATCGCCCAGGCATAATCTTGAGCTTAAGCCATTTCTCTCCCATCGCCATACCTCGAGTCCAGCCCGAAACCCTAAATCCTATATTGTATCCCATCTAGCTGCATCCTATATACTTGAACCCAGAGGAATTATATGGGAAGCCCACTGGGCCCCTAAATCCTCTACTATATCCCTACATGGACCCTTTGGGTTAGACAGCCCACTCCAAAGGCGCTGATCTCCAAGCCTCCCCAATCCTAATTAAGCCCCACCCCTACTGCCGTTTAGGGTTTAGGGACCCCTGCATGGATAAGATCGTGGCCTAGGACGCAACAAAAGGCAATTGTTATACATATCTTTTTTGGGCTTTTTGCAAACATACTCAAAGCCCCTAAGTCCTAAACCCTACTTGAGTATCCCAAAGCACTAAAACCCTAAACCCTAAACCGTGTAAAACCTCAACCCAATGGCAGCAAGGATTCTGGAGAGCGAATCCAGGCGGAGCCGGCAGGAACCGTTTCCTTAAACTCTTCCATCGACTTACTGGCGCTTAAGGGGAGTGGAGGAGTGGAAAAGAAAATGATAAGTGGATCCCTATAGTAACCCCTTTATATGAGCTATAGTCTAAACTCCTAGTATCTCCCTTAATAAACCCTATAATACTCCCCTGTATAATCCCTATATATCTCCCCTTAAGGAGTTTAGACTAGAGCTCATACAGCCGCTATAAGAGTACCTAGATTCCCTGCCCCACTCACCCTTCAGCACCAGTAAGTGGAGGGTGCGCCAAAATGCCAGTGGGCCAACTGGGGGCAGACCCAATCCTTCGACCCTAATCCTAGACCGCCAAATTGCTAGAGCCAACAAGGTAGCAATCCTCTCCCCCTAATATTGACTCAACCCGCCAATATGAAGTACTTCCAATATACTATAAAACATACCACAATGGGGAGTACTTAATATTGCGGGGGCGGGGGGGTTAATATTAATATTAGTAGGAGAGGATTACCCACGTGGCTGCCGGGCAGCTAAGCCTACCTCAAATGCAAGCAGAACGGGACAGTCGCTGGTCGACCCCCGGAGTCTGCCAACTTAGAGATTCAGGGTTTAGGGTTTAAAGCCCGAAGCCTTGAACCCCAAAACCTAAACCCTGAACCTTACCCCCAAAACCCTGAACCCTATCCCCAAAACCCTGAACCCTATCCCCAAAGCCCTAAACTCCAAACCTGAACTAAGGCCTTCTTGGACCGATATCCTGTCAACTTGGAGTGAATCTGAGGACAGAGGAACCTGGTATTCCCCATTACTACGCTGGATACTAAACTTCCTTGCATGACCGCAAGTCTTTCTACCTTGGGTTTACTGGCATTATAGTATACAAAGGTCATGCAAGATTTAGTATCCACAGTATTACTCTTCATCTTACTATTGCTTATTGCTGGTACTATACCACGCTTATTGCCACCACTGGTACTGTTCCTGTGCATGAAGTACCAGACTTTGCGTTACCCCTGGCTTGCTGGAAAGGGGGAATGGATCTCTAAACAAGCCGCTTGATAGCTACCCCCACAGAATCAATGTAACCCATTCCTGATTTACATCTCCTTTCTAGTATTCCCTACCAACCACCAGTAAGTTTGAGAATTAGGCTCTTCAGTACCGAGGACTGACTGCAGCAAACTGCCCCAGGCCGTCATTGTCATCTCGCCAGGCGGCGCAATAACGCAAAACACAGTTGCTGCCCTGCCTGCATGGTCCCGAGGTGTTTAGTAGCAATGTTTAAGAATAGCAGCAATAAGCACAATTACAATAACATGATTAGGAGTCCGGGCTTCAGGCAGGGTTGAGAAGTGCTCTTGGAATCCACGTGGTGTACCTGTGGAGCTCTTAGACTCTTACCCTCTGCCAAGCTCAGCCGGAACCCCTGGGGCGGTGGATACCATGCTCTTGAAGGGCTCGTGGTGTTCATGCACTGTTTGGGGTCTATGTTGACATCCGGGCTTTTGCATGGTGTTGCTCGCAGCACTGGCGAAAGTATGTGGGACTGAATTCCTTTCCCAGAATGGGGGAAACCTATTCCAAGACCCATAGTATGATAGGCACCCGACTATAGGGACCCGTGTGCTTAATGAGTTTAAGGAAACTCCTATTTGCGGAATATTCTTCTTGGGGGAATACAGAGAAGAAGATGTGGCAAGTGGTGTTTGTTTAAACTCGCATCCCCCAAACACACAAACAAGCATACGTAAGCTTTGTCTAAATCCCTTAAAGGGGGTTACACAGGGGATCGTATAGGGGAGTATTATAGGGGTTGCCAAAGGGGATATTAGGAGTGTAGACTATAGCTCATGTGCGGGTTTCTACAGATTGTGAGCCCAAAATGCACATATCTCGAATTACTACCATCCATATTTTCGGGACCCCCAAAAAGGGACCTCTAATTTGGGGAAATCCCATGTCTCAAAACAGGAGTATGCTAAGGGATCCCAGGGAGAGACGGCCCACCCTCTGCCGTGTGCTTGTGAGGTCATGGGATCAGGTTATATAGCTCTGGTCTTGACGACCAGAATTAAGGGAGGCTGTAGTATACCGTCCCACATTCAACCCTACATGTCCGAACGTCCAACTGTAATCCCTGAAGCCCTAACCCTGAAATCTTGAACCCTGAATCGCAAAACTCTAAAAGACTGTACCGCAAGGCTTTGAAGCCCTAAAACCCTGAACCCCAAACGCTGAACCCTAACACCTGCAACCCGAAACCCTAAACCTTACTCCTTGGGTACTGCCCCCTCCCCCCAGTAACAGTTGGATAATAAGTATAATATGGTTAGATATAGCCCTGAATAGGACCCCTAATATAGACTGTTACTGGGTGGGGGGCAGTACCCAACCTAAACCCTAAATCCCTAAACCCTAAACCAGGGAGCCTGGAGCGCAGGTGCCTTCAAATGTCTTCGCACGCTGCAGCAGGTGAAGAAACTGCTCGTCCACCGTCTCTGGGGGAATGTCCTGGGGGTTTAGGGTTTAGGGTTCAGGGGTTTAGGGTTCAGGGGTTTAGGGTTTAGGGGCTTAGGGTTTAGGGATGTCCTGCGAGAAGAAAAGTTTCTGTGCCCTGCAATTCAATGTGGGTGGTTGTCAAAATTATGGTCCCTTTTTTGGTCCCTATTATAATACGACACCCAATATTTAGGGTACCCAAAAAGGGACCATAATTTTGACAACCACCCATGTGGTTCTAGGACTTCAGGTTCGTATTCATTGGAAGGCCCATGGTGGCAATGGATTGACAAGTACATCTGAGCGAAAGGACCAAACACGTTGCAGGGCAGTCCTCTGAGAATACCAGGCGGCACAACCTCGACAGAGTGTCTGCGCGAGTGGCTACAAGTTCATGGCCGAGCCCAGCTGAGCTAGCCTCCGCTTTGTACTCTTCCACTATGTCTTCCACCAACATCGAACCTGCACGCTGCGCGAAGACTTTAGCCCTGTCACGCATCCGACGTAGCAACCGATAATCTGCCGACTTCATCTTACCCAGGTGCACGACATGATCTTCCTCGTTGTTGCCGCTTTTCGAGGTCAAGTACATCACATAGCCTTCTCCAACATCTTGCAAAGCAGCCTTTTCAGTCTCCAGACAAGCCTCCTGAAGCACCTGGAAGGTTTCGTCAGCCGTTGCAAGTGGGCAAGGCCTCACAAGTTTGAGGTTCACCGTGGGCAGCCCAACTTTGTGGAAAAAATCGATGCTAGTGGAGGGCGGCCAGCACAAATCATCGCCTCGAACTTTCTCACAGATAGTCCCTATGTGGGCTCTGCAGAGGAAGCCCCTAGAATCCCCCCCAGAGCCATATCCCTATGATCCCTAAGGGTGCCCCTGGCTGAGAAGCCACAAGCCCTAGATTACAGATGCCTACGCTTTTCAGAAACCATTTCCACTAAAAAACCTAAGCCCAAACCCCTAATCCCTAGACTTCTCAGAAACCAATATCCTTCGTTTGGCACGACTGCAAACCACTGGAGTCTTCTCAAAGATCCATAGTCCACAAGATGAGCCTTGATCGCTTCCGAGATGTGAAGCTTGGGGTTGGGGGCTGAGTTTTCCTAAGGGCCCAGGGACCCAAAACAAGGGGTATTAGGACCCAGATACCATAATCTGAATGGTCTATTGACTTAAAACACTAGTATTTGGGTCCTATATACCCCTCTATAGTCCCATATAGTCCCTCTACAACCCCTTTAAAGGGACCTTAGTATCTAGGTCCTTGGGCCCTACAAGCTTGTTTTAGACGCCAGGACGTTCACGTCAGCCAGGTCGAGGCTTTAGGATTTAGAGTTCGGGGTTCATGGACCAGAGTCATACTGGGATACTGGAAAAGAAAATGGAAACTACTATAACGGGGTTATATGGGGTTTAGGGTTTAGGATTTAGGTTCAGAGTTTTTCGTGTTTAGGGTTGTGCACGCTGACCATGTTTAAGGACCATGGGTTCGAACATGAAACGATGAGGTTTGCCATGCCTTCCTGACACCAACACCTACGGTATACGGGCTTGAAATGCAGCTTTGTCAAGAGCATTAGGCATAAAGGAACTGAACATTTTCCATTATCCCAATATAACCCCAAAATATACACTATAATCTAGTAGTTTCCATTTTCTTTTCCATTATCTCAATAGAACCGCAATGCCAAGTGCATCCACTGAGCGCCACTACCTCCAACCATCTCTCCCACCAGCGTTCGCGATGCAAGCGTCTCTTCAAGAAGCTTGCGGGACGAGCTTGTCAAAACCTTTATGGCAGCCCTTTTGGGGATTATATAGGGGCTTATAGGTTTATGTAGGAGTATAATAAGGATTTCTAGGGTTCAGGTTGCCCAAAATTAGGAGTCTGAACCCTGACCACCAATGAATGAAGGGGTGGAAAAAGGGGAACTACGATGTTTTCGGGGTTGTATGGGAGCAACTACAAGGATCTATTGCGCAATTCCCTACCCCAAACCCTAAATTCCTAAACTCTACACTATTGGACACATGTTGTAGCGTCTGCTATCATCATGAGAATATGTCCTCTGCTTAGCAACCCAAGCTTGCGCGTGCGGAGTGATGGCAGCATTTCTGCAAGTGGGATTTGGGGCTTAGGGTTCTGTGGGGTTGTTCACTGTGTAGGGTAGTCGGTGGGCATGGGTATCGCCAAAAGGACTCTTATGTATCCTAATGGTCCTCTGCTAACCCTACTTGGAGGCTACTCGGAGGCCCTCTTGACTGAGCAGGTCTACTGATTCATATGCGTCTTGGCACGTATGAAAGCGCTATTGAACATAGTAGCTGAAACAGCCCTACTACGTCAGAAGACTATCCAAGGACTAGTTGAGAATGCCGCATGGCAGTCTAGCATAGGTTGATATCAACGCTGGGGTTTGAAGAGACTTTTTTTGCAACTTTTTTTGGGGGGTCCCAAACTGGAGGTTAAGGTTCAGAGTGTTTTGGGTTTGGAGTACCCAGTTTGCTCCTTTCCGGCTTTTGTCGGTAAGGAAGACTAACTCAACGGCAACGCTTGTTCCCGGTGTGTCGGGTGTTAACCTTGCAGTGTATCTAGTGTCCATATCAAAAGATAGCATACAGCAATCATTTGTCGATGAAACAGCCCCATAAGCCCTACATCCCTAAACCAGTGAACCGGGATCCATAAGCCTAAACCCTAAACCCTAAACCCTAAAGCCTAAACCCTAAACCTTGAGGTGCACGGGACCATTCTAGGCCTCATTCGGCAGGGTAAAGTGACACTTCAAGGCTACGGCTTAGTGGATGGACAGGTAGGGTTTCTCCCCAAGAGCGAAGAATCAGTATGTAACTCATGACAGCCCTATATAACCCCTATATAACCCTATGTATATATATATATGTATCCCTATATATCCCATAATTCGGAACCCTAGGGTCCCACAAAAAACCTTCCAGGAAACGGACAGCTGCGCGAACCAAAGCTCAGCCACAAGCCTTGCGAACCGGTACCGACGGTCTGCCCACTGCGGCAGTTCAATCTCACTGGCACCTTTAGGGTTTAGGGTTTAGGGTTTATGCGGTTGGGTTTGGATCCGTAAGCCACGGAAAAGTTCATATGTGCTACTGTCTAAACTCCTAATCTCTCCCTTAATAACCCCTATAGTAATCCCCCATATATCCTCCCTCTTTAAGGGGTCTAGACTATAGCTCATATGCTTTACGGTATGGCTTCGGGCTTAGTGTAGACCCCTGATTAATAAACCTCCTCCCCTTAATAGGGATTATAATAGGGATCCTAATATTAAGGCCCTTAAAAGGAGGAGGTTTATTAATCACGGGTCTACATTCAACCCTAAACCCTAAACGCTAAACAGTAGATTCCATTTTCTTTTCCATTATCCCAATACAACCTCAATATAAACCCGTATACCTATCAATAGGGTTTAGAGTTCAATCAGGAATGGAGGGATGGATCCCTGGAGCACTCAGTGCCTCCATGAACTTACATATTAGGTTGGGCCCCCCCACCCACTACCCAGACTCTAGGGTTTAGGGTTTAGGGGTTTAGGGTTTAGGGGTTCAGGTTTTAGGGGTTTAGGGTTTAGGGGTTCAGGGTTTAGGGGCTTGGGTTTAGGGGGATCCAAAAAAATGGACCCCAAGTATACCACTATTAGGCGTGGGGGCCCAACCCCAACCCAACTTACATGTTCCCTTCCATCATTCCCTACTAAACAGCATTAAGTTCATACAGGCATAAGGGGAGATGATTCCAGCTTAGAGGTTGAAAAATGGCGGAACCCCGACAGCCCGACAGCAGCTCCGCGCTGGCTACCACCAGACCGCCAGGGTTTGTGTCTTGACCAGATCCCTGTCCTTGTAAACCTACACACAGATACACCCTAATCTAAAGAACCAAAGAAGTACATATCTTAGGTCATTCCCCAGTAACACGTACCACGATGGGTAATAGGAGTGAATAGGAGTTAGAATAGCCCCTTCATGAGACCTCTTTAGGGCGAGGTACTGTAAGGGCAGATGACGTTACTCATACAGGAAAACTCGTCTTGAAAAAGCAACATTGCCTCACCGGTGCTTAATGGGGAGAGGGGGGGACTGGATCCCTGAATATCCTGATAAACATCTGCATAGGGTTTAGGGTTTATAGCCCTATTATGGGGGGCTGAAGCTTCAGGAACTACCTCCCACTCCCCTGAGCACCAGCAAGTCACAGAAAGCTTGAACTTCGAGGCACTGGCAGCAAGCAGGGAAACATTCTTTGAGCAAAGGACCCATTGGCCAGTGTCAGTAAAAAAGGACACCTGCGCGTTTTCACCATTTGCCTGGGTTGTGCATCATAACTTATGAAGTGAAACCTAGCATAACCCTCTCCGCCAAGAATAAACCCCCAATAACCGTACATGTTGCATGCGATGCAGTAGTAGGTTAAAAGGGTACTGGGATTGTGTAGCGTTCGGGATTGGGGCTGCGCGTCCTTGCAAAGACCAAAAAATATCAAACAAGTGTCTTGTAGCACACCTCAGCTGCTTTATCCAACATGCTGACTTCTATCTGTGCGCCAGTAGCTATGGCGTCCTTGATGGATTTGGCCAACGACCTGCCAACCTTTTGCGACAATGACCTCCCAGCCAACGAAGCGCCGCCTGGGAAGTTCTTGATTCTGTAAGGGGGCGTCAGGAGGTGCGCATAATTAGGGATGACGGGGCTATTTGGAGTTAGATGAGTCTCTACATTGGCAACTCCCCTCCTGTAGTTGCCTTAGCTTCTGATGCTCCACAAAGTTGCAGGAAGATCATAGAAAGTCGTTAGATGCAATCCGCTTTTTACCTATTTGGCACACTGAGGGTTCCAAATGGCCCCTGCTCTAGCACGAGTGCTTTAACATCAGTACAACTAACGGCTGACGCTAAAAATCCAAAAGCGTAAATCCTAAAGCCCTAAACCCTAAACCCTAAATCCCAAACCGGCGGGACCTCCCTGCCTTCCATTTGGCCTGGACTTCCGGAGAAAGCCTGCGCATCAACGTCGAAGAACTTCGGAAGACCTGTGAGTTCTCGAGGCAGGGGTTTCTTCTAACCCTAAACCCTTTGTAGGAACACCAGGTTTGGGGCCTAGGATTCATCTGCAACCAGATTTGTACAGAGGCCCTAAACCCTCAGCCTTCTCCCCCTTGACCAATAGATTTAGGGTCAGTGTCCTTACAGGGGCCTGATTAGGGGGCACTTCTAATTCCAGTAATCTTCTGTGGTAACTGTTAATGTAAGGGGCTATGACCTCTCAGACGGTAAGCCTAAACCCTGAACCCTAAACCCCCTAAACCCTAAACCCTAAACCCTGAACCCTGAAGCCTGGTGCATCCCTGAACCCAAAACCCTTCATTTTGAGAAGCTACGACCTCGTCGGACAAGTGTGGCCTCACCCTGAGAGCCAACAGATTCCTTGGCCGCCACTTCGTAGGTTTTAGGGTTGGGGTTTAGGGTTTAGGGTTAGGGTTTAGGGTTAGGGTTTAGGGTAAGGGTTTAGGGTTTAGGGTAAGGGTGTGGGGTTTAGGGTTTA